CACGGCCGCTACCTGACGGTGGCCGCCATCTTCCGCGGGCGCATGTCCATGAAGGAGGTGGACGAGCAGATGCTGAACGTGCAGAACAAGAACAGCTCCTACTTCGTGGAGTGGATCCCCAACAACGTGAAGACGGCGGTGTGCGACATCCCCCCGCGGGGGCTGAAGATGTCGGCCACCTTCATCGGCAACAGCACGGCCATCCAGGAGCTCTTCAAGCGCATCTCGGAGCAGTTCACGGCCATGTTCCGCCGCAAGGCGTTCTTGCACTGGTACACGGGCGAGGGCATGGACGAGATGGAGTTCACCGAGGCCGAGAGCAACATGAACGACCTGGTCTCCGAGTACCAGCAGTACCAGGACGCCACCGCCGACGAGCAGGGCGAGTTTGAGGAGGAAGGGGAGGAGGATGAGGCGTAAAGTTGACATGGGTAGGAGTTAAGTATAGTCTGAGCAGGCAAGTGTTCATTGAGAGGAGGAATCTGTGCAGTTGTGCTGAAGCATGCATTTTTTAATTTGGTGCTCTCCACTGTTGCTTCTGTCAGCAGTTTTGTATCCTTGACTGTCCAGTGTAACAGTAGTTGCAAGAATACTTCAGAGTCTTCTGTTGAAATGGTTAACTTCTCAAACATAAAGGCTTTTTGTGTCCTAAACTGTCTCCTCTGCCTTATTTCTCTCTAGAGTAAGAAAATAACTCTTGTGTAGTTCTCTGTAGCTTCACTTCTCTCTTTAATCCTTGCCCTCATCGATGGGTTTAACTCAAACTGAGACCTCTCAGGCTGGGGGCTCAGCAGCGTGAGGGAGGGGCAGTTGCTCAGCCTAAGATGGTAGCTGATTTATGGGAGCTGGGGGTTTGCTGTTGGACACTGCTGTCTCACAGCTCATCTATTGTTGGGGAGAAAGCTGCCTTAGTGAGCAGAAACAAGACACTGTGCTGGAGAATCCTGCCACTCCTATTTATGGCCACCCATGGCAGTGAGGTCAGTGGGGAGGTATGGAATTCCACATCACAAGCTGTTGAGGATAGCTGCAGGCTTCCCATCTGCCATTCGGCACCTCTTCCCCAACCTCTAGGGCCTGTAGCACATGCATATGGGTGGCTGCCTGTCACTGGACTTGATCCTGAGCTGTCCTGTCTTTCCCTCAACCCTTCTCTCTAAATACTAAAAACCCAAGCGGAGGAGCATGCGTCTGTAGTAGCAGACATCTCGAGCTTCTTTAAGAACCTAAATTTCCTCTTTCAGGCATAAAATTGAGTATTTCCCCAAAATAGCCACTAAGCTGCCCTTAACTGTTTAAAGGGATTGGCTTCAGGGCAATCAGTTCCCTTTAGGAGATGAGGGGTGATGGGTGGGTTCCTAGGTAATATGGCTCACAAGGCTGCCCACAGCACGCGTGCAGCCTCAGGGGAGCCAGGCACAGACCCAGGCCATGGCAGCCTGCCCCCAGGTGATGCCCTCGCAGGGCTGCTGCCCTCTGGCACTCGGGGTCCCTGCAGCAGGAGCCAGACCTCCACCCCGGCAGGAGGGAGCAGAGCAGCAACACCCTGCTGTGCCTCATGGCCAAGGTAAGTGTGGCTTCCTTACAGGGAGGGGAGGGAGATTTGTGTTGCCATGTGTTTAGAGGATGCCAGAACCCTGCCTCTAGTTGTCAGTAGTTAATGAGATTTTTCTTATTCCTACAAAACAAGAAATTCCCCCAGAGTGTGGCAGTTACCCAGTGTGTGAGCTGAGTCCTTAGTTCACCTGGGTTCACCACTCAGGCGAGTGCTCCTGTGCTAAAAACATGTTACTTTGAGAGCCAGTACCAATGCTGCAGCTACTGTGGTTCCTCTGAATTAGCTGGTGTCCACCTCTGGGCTGCATTTGTAATCCCCTAATGCAACGTTTCCAAGATGTTACTGGCGTGGGGGCTGCAAGGGAGCTGCTGTGCCTGGCTGACACGTCCTGCCTGGTTTGGCTCTGCTGCCTGCAGCCCCTGCCCCTCTGCTGATGGGCCCACTGACCTGGTGTGCAGGACAGCAGGCACCTGCTGAGGCTTTTTCTGTCACCTCTGTGCTTCTGGTGTGCTGCCTGTAGAGGGGTGGGAACCACTTGGTGCCTGAGCTGTCAGTAAACGAAATTGACCCTCTATCCCCACAAAAGCACTTGGATTTTTTGCAGCTCTAGGATTAAGCATTAAACAGACGGAGGCTGTGGCAGTACCTGTAGTTAATATGTGCTGCCCCAGGCCCTTTGGGGAAATAGCAGCTTATCTGGTTGTCCAAGTAACCTTCCCTTGACATTACTGAGCTGGGCTGCACTTGGAACTGTTTACCCTACAGCTTTGTTTGCAGGGAAGGCAGCAAATGGGGTCAAACAAAGCTTAACTGGAAGGTGAGAACCTGGTGTTTGGTAGTAAAGATCTCCCTTTCTGCCGTGGCACTGTAGTGGGTTTCCCTTGTGTTCAGTGTCTGGCTTCTAATTCTTGGTGTAATTACACCCTGCCTCCAGCTAACCCTTAAATATAGCTACCCCAGGGACACGCTTCACTACAGCTCCCCTACTAGAAAGTAGGACACCATCCTACATGGCTTGCTGTTTGTAGTCTGTTTTTTTTCCAGAGGAAGAGAACCCATAAATAGAGATACTCTAGGCAGGAGCATGTCCTTTCATAAATCCTACACAGCTTATCTGACAGTCATAATAATTAAAAATAAATCAATCAACCCATCATTTCAGTGGGAGTTGAGTGAGATGGAGGAAAATGGCTACTGGAAGAGGTAGAGGGGGGATTCAGAGGAGACCCTGTGCTGTGAGAACTGCAGGCTGGCTGCTAAACAGATGTCTTCAAGTGGTGCCCATGGTTGTGCTTTTTCTGTTTCACAAAGAAAGCAGAACCCCAGGAAGTGTTTCAGGTTAGGTAGTGTGATGGTCTCAACCTCCGTGGGCTGTTGTTTTTGTCCATGTGATGAATAACACCTCTAAAGATAAAGGTTGTGTGTGAGGCATCATGTCTGGAAGAAAGGAGGATGGATGGTGCAGACTTTGTGGTGTGCAGTTCAGGCCACTTACACTGACTTGTTTGTGGTGACACAGAAGTTAATATCAAGCAATATATTTTTGTTTCAACCTCTCGGTGGAGGCCTGCAAGGAAAAAAATTCTCTTCTGCTGACAGCTGGAGCTGGTGGTGGTGTGGATGGGACAGTCCCTGGGGTTTTCTTCTTTTGTACCCTTTGTTAACATGTGGCATTTTTAAGCACATCAGCAGAATGTCTGCACCAAGGCAAACAACTGCCTCTTTCTTCAATGCAATAAATCTTTATGAATAAGTACTATGAGCTAGTTCTGCAACTAAAGCTTTTTTTTTTTGAGAATTTTCTTGCTTCCAATCTAAAATTCTTTCATGCTAAGCACCTGCCTTTTGATACCCCAGCAATCACCTGTCCTGCTGGCTTATTTATCAAGATGGGGAAGAGCAGATTTGGGTCTCAGACACTTCCATTTTAGGTGGTTGTCACCTTTAACTTGCCCAGATGGGCACTGAAAATGGAAATATTTGTTCACAGGAAAGTGCCTGAGGCTATGGTGCCTTTTGGAAAAGTGACATTTTTTTTGGCCCTGACTCTCTTGAAGCCCTCTCCAGCTGGATGAGGCTGAGGCTGAATCTGAGGCGTGGGGAGGGTGTCGGGGGAGCTGTGAGCGCCTGGCCCCAAACTGTGCTGCTGGCCATGGATGACTTCCCCCTTGAGCTGAGTTTAACATGAACGAGCCCTTTCCCTGCTCCTAGATCAGTCCTATTTCAAGCATTTTATTTGTGAATCTGCCAGAAAGAAAAATGGTGTCTTTTAAAAGTGTGTGTAAGGAAAATTTAAGATTATTTCCTTTCCTCTTTCCCACTCAAAGTCATTTTTCCTTTACATGCAGAATTCCACTTGTAAGGGAGGAAATAAAGTCTGCTTTGTTAAATTCTTGTTTGTTAATGTTTGATTCTTGTAGAGATTTTTTTAACTGGTCTCCATTTATTCGCATATCACCTTTTATAATCAGATTATTTTTCTCACTTGGCTTGCTTGGTGAGTTTAAGGTGTATTTTCTTTTTGGAGGAATGGCTCTACCATTGCAAACAGAGATGTTAACAGTCCAGCTTAAGCAGAGTGTGAGAACACTTGCTGCAGAGGATGAGATGGCTCCCCTGGCAGAGTGTGCAGCTTGGTCAGTGAACACTTCCACGTTGTTTTGCATGGAAAAATGTTTCCACGTTTTCCTTGGAGGCAATAAAAAGCTACTGCCTGCCTTTGTAGTGAATAATTAAACAGAGTTTTCAAGCAGAATTCAAATGATCTCACAGCAGGCTTTAAGAGCATGAAATGACATTCAGGCATTGGCTTCTTACCGTCTGCTTCTCGGCATCCAGCACAATGCTGGCCTTTTAATTAATAAATTATTTGTATGACGGGGCTTTGGAAATTCCAGCTATGATTCCAGCTCCACCCTAACAGGCAGGGAGAAAGGGCAAGCTTGGATTAGAGATCTGCTGGGCACTGGGACAACTGCCCCTGCAGAAGTGGGGCTGATTCATTGTCCTCCAGCTGCCAAAAATGGCACTAAAAAAAAAAAAATCCTTTTTCCCTTGCCTTGCTTTAGGTGTTACCTTCCTGCTATTTCCTTCAGGCAGCTCCAGCTCTGACCCCTCCACCCATCAGTCCAGCTCCCTAAACACAGGGACAGTAAGCTGGGGGTGGAAAGAGGCTTTTTCTTGGCTTAGGGGAGTGCCAGAGGGAGAGCTGGCACAGAGGAGTAGGTGGCAGCTGGAGGCAGGAGAGAGCAGAGCAAGATGCTGGCTTCATTCAGCACCCTGGTGCGACTCCACCCTGGACTCTTCCACGGGGAACCTGGGCAAATTTAAACAGTGCACGTTGAGTCCCACCACAGACTCCTGCCTCTCCTGGCAGGTGTCACAAGGTGAAGCTCAGAGTTCGCTCAGTGTCAGGCTGAGGTGCAAGGGAAAGCGAGGAGGCTGAGGAACAAAAGAGACAGTGACTCCCAGATCAAAGTCACTCTCTGTGCCTGGCTCTTGACGGGTGCAGGAATCAAGCTCCCCTGGAAGAGGTGACATCAGCAGTTCATTTATATTGGTGCTGTCACATCCTGAGTGGAGGACCCAGCCTGCAGAGACAGCAGACGTGTTTCATCCGCTGGGGGAGCGGAGGAGGTGGGTGCAGCCCGGGTGGGGCAGGAGCCATCTGGCTGCTCCATCACAGCTGCTGTGCCAAGGGGGAGAAGCGAGAGCTGCCTTGTTCTGCCTTTCCTCTCAGTCAGTCCCTGCCTGATGAGGATCAACATATTTTTCCCTTTCTGGAGTCATTTTGTGGCATGTGACCGTGTTTAGTATGGAAGGCAGACGAGTGAGGTTCTTGTACAGCCGCATGCACCAAAACTCCTGATTCTTGGAGGCCATAATCCAAGCTCACAAGAGGAATCGTAGGGTGTGGAAAAAATATTAGGTTGAAGAAGAAACAGGTTTTCCCTCAGAAGTTGCTGCATGGATTTTAGAATTGACAGTGCCCTAAATTGCATTGTAACATGATGTTCTCTCAGTCTTATCCTCTCTCCTCGGTTCTTGGCCAAACAGTGAACCCTCAGGTACAACAGACACCTCCTAAGAAGCAGC